TTTCTTCTCAATTTAAGGGCCTGTTGGGTAGAGTTTGTTGGAGCTTTTGTTTTTGTTTTTTTTTTTTTATGAATGATAAGTTTAAATTTTTATTGGAGGAAAAATTTAAAAATTGTTTTTAGAAATATGAAAAAATAAGTAAGAAATAAGTAAAAAAAAGTTTATAAAAAACAAAAGTTTGAAGTTTTTTAACTTTTACTGTTTAGAGTCTTTAATTTTAAAATTAAAAAAAAAGTTTAAAAATGTAAGTTTTTAAGAAAAAAATTTAAATTTATAAAATATAAATAGTGTCAAAAAGCTAAAGAACTTAAAAACTTAACCAAACATGTCCTAAATCTGGACAATTGATCCATTATTATTTCCCGAGTTTCCCGCGTTTCTGATTCCTCAATCATACAGAACTTCATTTTTTTTTTCATCAATATAGTCCCTAAGTACGCAAGTGTATCATGTACACTCCAAATCCTCTCCTCCAACTACAAATTTACTGGTGGTTTGAAATAGGAAATTACGGCAGTGTCGATGAGGATCCACACACTAATCTACTCATCTCACAGAAATACTTTTATGCCTCTTTCTTTAGCTAGAAATAGTAATTATAATGTTTATCTACTCCTTGCAAAGAAATATCAAATAATATGAATCATTTAACTCTTTCAGTACTGCTCCCCTGTTGCTTAAGTTTCAATACACTCGTGGGGAGCATAATGTAAGTAGCTTGCCTCTTTAATGCAACATTTAGATTTAAGATAACATTCACTTGATACTAACTAGAGTTTGGCCAAATTAGTACCCACCAACTTAAAAGTTTTAATTTGAGGTCAAAGTCTAAGATTCAAATATATATGATCGATGTTAAATAGTTAACTCTCCAATTTTTTTTAAATATATATATATATATATATAAAGATATCATTCTTCATTCAATTGATGCAGCATGTAGTTGTGGTAGGATAATTGTATATCAGCATTTGCTTTTCCATTACTGGAATTTTTCTGTTTTTCAAATACAACTATTATTTTTAAATTTGTTATAACTAAAGGATCTACTATCAAGTTAACATTGCTTTTTTTTTTTTTTTTTTAACATGTTGCAATTATTTACATATTAATTGGGAGAATGGGAAAAGAAATTCCGTGGAACTTGAACATAAAACCCACAAAAGATGAATGACCCTAACCCAGGGTCTAATGTTACTGGACTGAAGCAGACCGTTCAACACTACTTTGATATTTCTTAGTGGAGAATAAATTGTTTACTCTGAAAGTCAATTCAAAGGTGTCTCAGTTCTGACTTTTTTTGTGGCTGATCAAATATGTCTAACATCTATTCTTTTTAAATCACTAATGAAAGTGCATTTGGCATTGGAATAAACGAGATTTTAATTTTTCTTTCTTTTTTTTACTTGGAAAAGGTTCCTTTCATCTCAAGTTCCTACTTCTGCGATGGAATGTAACACAGAGAGACAGGCTATAGTATTCCATTTTCTTGTAATTGTAGTGTACACTAGCACTTCCATGCTTCGTTTATGTTTACTCATGGATTTAGAACTATTGCTTTTTAGTCACAAAGGTTTCCATATCTGGAACTTTATGAACTTTTCAATACCTCACCCCCAGCTCCTGTATTCCTTAGAATTTGAAGGATTTGCATTCGACTAATTGACCCTGCTTTTCAAAAATTCTATTCCATTACATCTTTTGCTTTATCATTTTCATGGATTTCTGTTTTATTGCCTTCTTCACAGGCATCTCTACCATGTTTAATGGCTTCTCCGTTCTATGTCGTCAAAAGAACAAAACAAACGCGGCTAACTTGCTGCCTTCTTGCTGTCATTTCATTGCAGATTCATTTTCACCATTTTTGCAAGTTTGAATGCGACAACGCTGACGGTGACACTAAAAGCTTCAAAAAATCCAAGCTAAACAAAACAGATATCTCAATACATTCCTCGCACTTTGCACCCATTCATTATGGTCCCTTTGTGCTTTGGTTGTCATTTTGTTTGCAGCATAGTAACATCTCTCTCTAACTTTTCAGCACCTCGTTCACCACAGCTTCTCCTACTACATTTTACATCTATAGCTTCAAGAGACCCTGTAGCTAAATGGTGAAAATCCCATAGCTAAATGGTTTAGCCATAAAAATATTTCTCGTAACTTGCTGTGGCTAGAAATGGCATGGTTAAAAGTTAGCTATAGGATTTAATTGTTCCGTAGCTAAGAATAATATTTCTTGCCACGAGCACAATAAGTATGTGGCCAAATGTTTTAAATCTTTTGCCACAGAACTAATATTCTTGTAGCAAAAAGTTTTATTCTTTAGCCACAAAAACTAAACTCATAGCAAACTACTTTAATCTTTAGCTATGAAAACTAAACTTATAGCAAATTGTTTTATTATTTAGCCATAAAAATTGAATATTATAGCTAAATTAGATAAGATTGAAGCAAATAGGCTCACGTCCATGGCTAAATGTTAAACTACTTGCCACAAACATCAAGCTTGCCGCAAAAGAAATGATAACAATAATAAAATAAATACATAAATTTCTAGGTAAAATTAATTATACCATAAAATTACTTTTTTATTTATAAATGTGGTACATAATAGGAGATTAAGATTCAAAAAAACAATTCAAATCATTATACAACAATGCAAAAAAGAAAGTACAATAATTTTATAACTCAATAATCATCATGTAACATCAATATAGTTTTTTTTTTTTTTTTGAAAAAAAAAGAAACGGGTTCGAACCTGCCCAAAGAAAAGGGGAATTTCTAAGTAAAATTAATTATCCCAGAAATTTAATTTTTCATTTATAAATGTGGTAGATAACAAGAGATTAAGCTTCAAAAAAGCAATTCAAATCATTATACAACAATGCAAAAAAGAAACTACAATAATTTTATAACTCAACGATCATCATGTAACATCAATATAGTATATATATTCATGTAAACTAGTCAAAACTCTACTATAAATCACTAAATCTAAACGTTAAATATTTTTAGCATGATAACTTTTCTAACTTATGTAACATATTTAGCTATTTCTGCATTCATTTCACTTCTAATATGATAATCATAAAAGCAAAATCTCCAGCAATCTTCCTCTTGACCATCTTCAGAACTCTAATTGAAAATTGCAACTCCAAATTTAACAAGGAGAGAAATCTGCCCAAAACTAGTCCATTACTTAAACATGTGTAACGTAATTGATTGTTTTATTTAAAATATAAGAAAAGAGAAAACCAAGACATCTTAACATTAAAAAAATTAAAATTTTAATCATAACTATTAAATATATGAGGTATAATATGAGTTTTAATTTAATAAAATACGTCATGTGATTATTATTAAATATTTTAATATTTTCTTAATTTTTCCTTTTTTTCTAAAATATAATCAATTATTTGAATTTTATTTAAGGGCATGGTAATTTTCACTTCAAACTTTGCGTTGTGTTTTTTTAAAATAACCAAACATAAAATTCTAAGAATACCAAACAAAATTTACAACCGACTAAACACAAAATTTTTTAAAAAAAGGGTAAAAAAAATAATATTTCCGAGTATATATATCCGTTTAAAATATTTTTCAGTAAAGGTTTTTTACCATATAAAAAAATGCAGAAGGCTACCAAAGATGCCTTAACTGTGGCCTGTGGGAGAATAATATGAACATCAGGGCACAAGGAGGCAAGCATAAAGGAGAGAGATTTGATGAGAGTTGGCGGAGATTTCAAGAAGGGCAGTGCTAGGGGCAGTCACCCTCTGCACTCTCTGACTAACACCCACCTATGGGTTGGACTAGGGGTGGGCATCGAGCGGTTTCAGTTGTAATCGAAACTGAGATGCCAGTTAATCGAGATATCGATTTCTTAATTTTAAAAATTGAAAACCGCACCCAAATGTTATAATTTTTGCGGTTTTGGTTGTTTTAGTTTTGGTTTCAGGTTTCAACTACCATTTCACAATGGCTTATCAATGGTGGAAAGGCAAGCAGATATCGGAGATGAAGGAAGAATGATGAGAGAATATGGTACGAGAAAGGTGACGGAAAGACGAGATGACAACTAGAACGACGGAGAAGAGGGAGGAAAAAATCACTAAGTGATTCTTTGTTTCTAAATCTAAAAAAAAAAAAAAGAGATTAGGAGAAGAAACTAATAAGAATGAACTATTAGAGAAGTAGAATAGATCTTGTTTATTAAGGAGAGGAAGGAGAGTTAGAGGAAATGGGTTTAA